GGTCTCCCACAGTATTCTTGCTGGCAAGTTAAAGAAGTATGAGCTGGATGAATGGATTATAAGGTGGATAGAAAGCTGGCTAGATTGTTGGGCTCAATGGGTAGTGATCAACAGCTCCATGTCTAGTTGGCAGCCGGTTTCAAGCGGAGTGCCCCAAGGGTCAGTCCTGGAGCCGGTTTTGTTCAATATCCTCATTAATGATCTGGAGGATGGCGTGGACTGCACTCTCAGCAGGTTTGCAGATGACACTAAACTGGGAGGAGTGGTAGATATGCTGGAGGGTAGGGATAGGATACAGAGGGACCTAGACAAATTAGAGGATTGGGCCAAAAGAAACTTGATGAGGTTCAACAAGGACAAGTGCAGAGTTCTGCACTTAGGATGGAAGAATCCCATTCACTGTTACAGACTAGGGACCGAGTGGCTAGACAGCAGTTCTGCAGAAAAGGACCTAGGGGTTACAGTGGACAAGAAGCTGGATATGAGTCAACAGTGTGCCCTTGTTGCCAAAAAGGCTAATGGCATTTTGGGCTGTATAAGTAGGGGCATTGCCAGCAGATCGAGGGACGTGATCGTTCTCCTCTATTCAACATTGGTGAGGCCTCACCTGGAGTACTGTGTCCAGTTTTGGGCCCTACGCTACAAGAAGAATGTGGAAAAATTGGAAAGAGTCCAACGGAGGACAACAAAAATGATTAGGGGGCTGGAGAACATGACTTATGAGGAGAGGCTGAGGGAACTGGGATTGTTTAGTCTGCAGAAGAGAAGAATGAGGGGGGATTTGATAGCTGCTTTCAACTACCTGAAAGGGGGTTCCAGAGAGGATGGATCTAGACTGTTCTCAGTGGTACCAGATAACAGAACAAGGAGTAATGGTCTCAAGTTGCAGTGGGGGAGGTTTAGGCTGGATATTAGGAAAAACTATTTCACTAGGTGTGTGGTGAAGCACTGGAATGGGTTACCTAGGGAGGTGGTGGAATCTCCTTACTTAGAGGTTTTTAAGGTCAGGCTTGACAAAGCCCTGGCTGGGATGATTTGGTTGGGGATTGGTCCTGCTTTGAGCAGGGGGTTTGACTAGATGACCTCCTGAGGTCCCTTCCAACCCTAATATTCTATGATTCTATGATTCTGTGAATTTGAAAGCATCTGCTTTAATATGTGGCCTGACTTTGGTTTACAGCCTCTGGTTCAGGCCCTCAGATCTTGCACCATGTCCAGATCTCCAGGCTCTCCCTCCACTAGAGGGCGGACTGTGTCTGGGCATCCAGAGCCTCCTGTACCCATGCGGGTGCCCCAATACTGAGCCCAGAATGGCAGCAGGGTCCTGTACTGTAGGGAGTGATGTGCAGGACTCAGTAGGGAGCGCTCTCCCCTCACACTCAGCATTGACCCCACTGTAGTGCTTGCAGGCTCAGTGCTGCATTAAATGACGTCTTTTCAATGAGATGTAAAGCTACGGTCCTTAGATCTCATGCTCATGATGATGCTGTTTGAGGGAGTGGGACCTTTACCCCCCATGTTCTGCCCACATCCCAGGTGAGGTCATAAGTACATTTGGCCACCCTTAAAACTCCCCCTGCAGTTTCCAAGGGCTGGGATATTGTTTTTTATTCCCTGGGCACTGACCCCATATTCAGTGATGCACAAGGGCAGTGGAAGGGGCGGTCTCAGCCCATTGAGCTCACTAAGTAACGTAGCCCCAGACGATACAGTTCAGAAACATCAAGCCCCGGGTGAGGGTCTCTCCTGTAATAATGCAGAGCATTGAAGTTGTGTTAAATCATCTCCTATCTTTGGTGGCTCCTAGTCCAAAGGCTCCACAGACGTGTGCTTTTAGGGAGAGATTTAAATGAGGGGAGGGTGGCTGTGTGCAGCACAGGGAGAGAGAAATCCAAGCATGAGGGGTAGCTTGGCCTGGGGCACTATTACCAGTGTGAGAGGACACCAGAGGGAGAATATGTAGAACGATCTCGCAGGAGGAGTGGGAGCAGAGAGGTAGGTGGGGTCACTATGCCTCACCTTCTGCTCTGTACTGAAGTGCAGTGATCCTGATAGCTGCTGGGCTCCATCCCAGAAGTGGCTGAATTTCAGCAGAAGGGGCAGCAATCTCTGTAGCAGTTTCACACTGCACATCCCTCAGTGAGACTTCAGGGCTCAGTGCTCTATGGAAATGCAAGATGGCATTATTTAATTTCCCCAGTCGTCAGGATGAGGGGTCCCAGGGAGGCTTTGCACATACGGGAATGGAGCTTTCCAGTCACAGCCCCCTATACCCAGCAGTAGCTGGGGAATCACATGGTGCAACCAAAGACATGATTTCCTGATACACACACTCTCTATCTCTCCCTGCAGCTGTGGCTCCTGTGTTCATTGAGGTGCTGGGCCCCCGGGGTCAGGGGATTGGATTGGCCTGTAGATCTGCAGGCTGGTTCCCCAAACCCGAACTCCAGTGGGTTGGAAAGAACTGGCAGAACCTGGCGATAGAGATTGTGACCAATGTGACTCAGGACAGGGAGAACCTGTATAGTGTTGTGAGTCACGTCACTGTCACGGAAGAAGACAATGGAGACATCAGCTGCATAGTGCGTAATGGCTTGCTGCAGACCAAGGAACGATCTGCCATTCACCTCTCAGGTGAGTCCCCCATGCAGAAGGGGTCACCCTAGGAGTGGGGGAGGAGGGCTGGGTCACTAGGATATTGCACTCGGCTAGGACCTGTTTCTGGTACTGAGACAGGAAATGTCCTTCTCATCTGATTTGTGGGACTATTTGGGATAGAGGTTTCTATGATCTGGACAAACTGCCTGTCAGGAGCTGGGCTGAATCTTGTGAAATGGGCTGAGATGATACATTAAGTTGATAAAGGTACCTGGGCTGACCTAAGAGATTCAGGGTATGTCTACACTAGAAACGCTACAGCAGCAACACTGGTTTAAACACTTGCTACAGCAACAGAAGGGGTTCTTCCATGGTTGTAGTAAATTCACCTCTCTGGGAGGCAGTAGCTAGAATGACAGAAGAATTCTTCTAATGACCTAGTGGTGTCTTCACTGGGGTTAGTTTCATGTCCTCTGCGATGTATTTAAGCCGACCTAACTCTATAGTGTAGACCAGGTGTCAGACTCTGAAAGGGGTTTGACTTAGTGCTGCATGAACCACTGATAAAATAATATGGGAATCATCCTCCAATAGGGATATTTCTAGCAGTGTCCCACAGGGATCTGTTCCTGGTCAATGCTATTCAATAGCTTTATCAATGAGCTGGAAAGAAATATAAAATCATTGCTGGTAAAATTTGCGGATGACCCAAACATTGGTGGAGATGTAAATAATGATGGTGAAAGGTTGGTACTACAGACTGACGTGGAGCGCTTGGTAAGGTGGGTTCACCCTAACAACCTGCTGTCACAGATCCACAGCACCAGTGCCATAGCCCCAGCTTTAGAATAGTCTCTGGGAGGACCCTTCAGCATGCCAGACCCTCTAGGGGTCCTACTTTTCCCGCAGGGAAAACCACGTGGCTTCACCACATCCCCTGGGCCTTCAGCACCCCTGCTTCTCACTGAGAGCTCCGTTCAGCAAGTCCCACTGAGACAGACCCCTAAAGGAGACTGGTACAATCTTGGGGAGCAATGCATCTCCTCTGTCAGCATTTGCAGTGATACTCAGCCAGTGTTGTAAAACAGAAGAGTTTATTAGTCGATTGTCACATAGCTCAGAACGTCCTTGGCTAGCACAGAGAAAAGAAAGTTACAGCATAATCCATCCTGGGCAGCACAGAGCTCAACGCCTGCCCTCTGACCTCTCTGTCCCAGTTCCGGTGTTCTCCAGCTGCTTCCTGCAGCCCACACTTAGCTTCCACCTCACACACCCCAGTCCTTTGTTCCCCAGCAGGGCTAACACTGCTTGGCTTCCTGCCAAGAGGATTTGCCAGTGTCTTCTCAGCTGCTCCACTGACATCCAGGGCCGGCTCCAGGCACCAGCCCACCAAGCTTGTGCTTGGGGCGGCACCTGGAGGGGGCAGTGCGGTGCTCCGGCTCTGGCCGCCGGGGAGAGTGGGACCGTGGCGGGCTCGCCGCCCTCCCCCCGGCACTCCGGCCGGTCGGGGAGAGCGGCCCGCAGCCGGGCTCCTGGAGGGGGGGGGAGGCTTTTTTGCCTGGGGCGGCAAAAAAGCCAGAGCTGGCCCTGCTGACATCGGAACTTTCTCTCCACTAAGTAACTATACAGCAAAACCGAGGCACACATAGGCTTCGTAAAAATATTACAAAAATTCCCACTTTGTCACACATGCATTTCAACATGGCCCAATGCAAGGTGTAACGGGGTACACACTGCGTCCCTCTGGATTCGGCCCCTTGGAGCCTCTCTTCCATGAATCAGGGAGGCTTCAGTCTGGTGCAACATCTATGTTCTTTATTCGTGATCAGTTTCCACCTATAAATAGGCTTTACAACTACTTGGCCTACCACAGGCCTGGCCAGCAACAGACTAGGAGGCTCCTGCTCCTGCTCCCTCTGAGCCTGACCTCCCACTCTTAGTCTCCACCCCCCATTTCTCTCCCTTCCAGCCTTATAGCTCCTGCTAATGAGGCTGGCAGGTGTGCTCAGTTACCAGGCAAACATAGGGCAGTTCACCCATCCCCAATCTGTTTTTCCTGACTGGGGCTGGAGTGGCAGGAGCTGATGAAGGGCTTCTACAGCAGTGACCTGCCACACACCTCCTGCCTTAAGCAACCGCCAGGTAGGGCCTGGTCCGCCCCCTTCTCCCTCTGCCTGGGAGGTTGCTCCAGTGAATCCCGCTGCTTCCCACTGGGTGATTCCCGGGGTCCTCCTTGCAGGGTTTGTCTATCCTCCACCCATAGAAGGCACACTGGGTAGGGAGCAGACTGCCAACACGTATGCTGGCCCAGAGGTCCTCACACCAGTCACAGCCTCATGGTTGTCCTCCTGCTGCTCCCCCTTTCTGTCTGGAACAAGAGCCTGGTGGGTCTGGACATCACCCTGGCTGTCTGGGGCTTCAGGTTCAGTTACCCGGCCCAGGGGAGTCTGGCTCTCCCTGCTTGGAGGCTCTACCTTCAGGCATTCCCTGGGGGCTTCCCTTCTAGTCCTTGGACCTCCTTCCCTGGCTGTCCTATACTGGGGCACTCCTTTGGCCCCTCACACCCTATTTCTTCCTCATCTTCATTTTGACTTTGTTGTCTAAGGTTTGGCTCTCCTGTCTTCTGGGAACCTTGTTCCTCCCCCTCACTGGGGCCAAGGAGGGTAGGGGTTTCCCCACCTTTTAGCAGGGTCTCCCCTCTCTTCCTGCTGGTGGATCCCCTCCCACGGCCTCCTTTCCCCTTTGGGAAGGGGCCCCAATCTGTCCCCAATACCACAGGGTACGGTAACCCCTCTGCCACCCAAACCCATTGCCAGGCATACCTGTCCCCTACCTCCAGGGGCACGTGGGCCATGGGGCAGGGCCTCCAATCCCCATGGATGAACTCTAGCATCAGTTTTGCCCCAGGGATAAACCACTGTGGCTTTACCAGCCATCTCTGAATGAGGAAGCGGGCCGAGACTGTGTCCACCAAGCCCCTCTGGGGCTTCCTCCCCACCTGCACGGGGATGGTGGCCAGTCCTCGCCGCTTCTTCCTCCCTCCACCATTTGTCCAACAGCAAAATTCAGCTAGTCCACACTCCATTTCTGGGCAGCCCCAGCATTTTTGTCCCAGCCGCCCACATCGCCAGCACACCAGCTGTCCCGGGCGACTAGGGGCTCCCTTAGTCTCTTCCTTCCTTTTCTCAGGGCTTCTCCCAGGAGGAGGTTCTTGGGGTTTCTTACCCCAGTCCAGGTCCCAGCCTATCTGACCCTCTTTTCGAGAAAAATCTGCCTCCACCTATTCCTCTGTCAGTTTAACAGCGGCCTCCAACGTGTTTGGCTGGTGCCGCTGGACTGGACTTGCATGTTAAACTGTATAAACTGTTCAGGAAGGACAGGCGGGGGAGAAAAGGTGGAGGAGTTGCACTGTACGTAAGAGAGCAGTATCATTGCTCAGAGCTCCAGTATGAAATTGGAGAAAATCCCATTGAGAGTCTTTGGGTTAAATTTAGAGGCGAGAGCAACAAAAATGAAGTCATGATAGGCATCTGCTATAGACCACCAGACCAGGATGATGAGGTAGATGAGGCTTTCTTCGGACAACTAACAGAAGTTTCCAGATCACAGGACAGGTCCTGGTTCTCATGGGGGACTTCAATCACCCTGAAATCTGCTGGGAGAGCAATACAGCCATGCACAGACAATCCAGGAAGTTTTTGGAGAGTGCTGGGGACAACTTCCTGGTGCAACTACTGGAGAAACCAACCAGGGACCATGCTCCTCTTGACCTGCTGCTCACAAACAGGGAAGAATTAGTAGGGGAAATAGAAATGTGTGACAACCTGGACAGCAATGACCATGAGATAGTCGAATTCAGGATCCTGACAAAAGGAAGAAAGGAGAGCAGCGGAATATGGACCCTGGAAAAGCAGACTTTGACTCTCTCATGGAACTGATAGGCAGAATCCCCTGGGAGGCTAATATGAGGGGGAAAGGAGTCCAGGAAAGCTGTCTGTATTTAAAAGAAGCCTTATTAAGGGCTCAGGAACAAACCATCCCAATGTGCATGTAAGCAGAGTCAGGATGAGCTCTACCCTGACATCTGGTGGTGAATTATGGCGAGTGTGGAAAAGAACT